CCCCCCCCCCCCCGCCCATTATTGAGCTAGCTGTGCCTCCCCTAACCCACCCCCAACGACTCTTATGGCTCAGCAATGGAGGTTCGCCCGGGACTACTTGTATTGTGCGAACACAACAAAGTCAACCCACCCCCTGCTAGACTCAACCACGGGGCCACCTATTCCCCTATGTTGTGCCGCTTGCCTTTTGTCGCGATGCACGTATGTCACCGTTGAAGTGGAGACGTTGGTGTCGTGGACTTGGATATTTCCCTTTTCCTTCGTACGTACTAGTGTTTAGCCCCCGATATCGCGGAGTTGTTCGGACGAGATCCGCAGAAACAACACTTTTGGCAGTCACACGTGTGTCCAATGAGACAAGTATTGTGGTTCGGCACCGCCGTATCCCCTGTTTTTCTCTGTGTTTAAATGCTACGATTCCAATATTTGACCGTCGTTCTGAGTGTTGCTTGTTATCCCTAACCGTGTGCCCTTTGGAGAGCATGCTTCTCGTTATTTGTGTCAGCTGTTGAGTGTCCGACTTCACTACAATAGCATGTAGTTCGTCGAGCCACGTCAGCCCAGCCGTGTCTGTATCTTCCCCAGCCAGCGACTGCAACTTGAAAATATTATGTGGAATGCAGTGACATGCCGTTGGCGTTCACAGGCGGGGTCTGGTGTATTGGGCACAAGTCTTGCAAGCTTCCATTGTTTAGTGGTACGTAAGGGCCGGGCCGGAAGGACTGGTGTACAGCAGCTTGTCTCCCATCACTCTTTATTTATCTTCGAGAGAACCAAAAACAGAAAGAAGGCACGTAGCGAAAAAGCAGGACGGCTTTCGTTTGAAGGGTTGCTTGCTCTAAAAAAAGAACGAATGTTCCAGTTATTCCACAAGAGATTGGTTGCTCGAGGATGCTGGCTGCCTTACAACCCAGCCGAAAAACACCGTGTTTTCGTGGATGCGTGCACCAGGTGATGGACCACGACGTGTACACCACTAACGACGCGATCGGCTTGGTGTACGTGGACCTCAGCCCCCTCTTCATGCGCACCGCGGAGCGGGACCAGGAGAGCCGGGACCTCACGGTGCAGGGCTGGTTCCCGCTCTACGACACGCTTAGAGGCGTGCGCGGCGCTCTCTGCCTCGTCATCAAGGTGCGCCCCCTGCCTGCCGCAGCGAGATGGACGGGCCATCTCTTGCCTTCAAGCGTCGCTATCTTGATGTTGATTTTGCGGCACAACGTTTTAGGATGTTTGGAGGCTGGTCCGCACCTTGTTAGGCGCGTGCCCTGCCGGTCGCAATGAAAGGAACGGACGAACGGACATCTCGTACCTTCAAACTTCCGTACCTTCATCTCGTAAATTTTTGCGGCACAACGTTTTCGGGTATGTTGGTCCGTACTTATTCGGGGAGACATCCAATCCGTGCAACGCTGTTTCGAACAGCCGTCGCACGCAGTCTCCACCTGTTTCGGCACATAGTTTTTGTCCTTTTCTCACGTCCTGGGCTTGTTTCTCTTTCCCCCCCCCCCCCCCCCCCCCCTCCCGGTGTTTGCCATCGGGGGTGGGTTTTCGTCGCTTGGCAACGACGTTGTAAAACAAGCCGCCCCCCCCGGTGTTTGCCATCGGGATNTTCAGGGAGTCTTCCGCCGGCGTGCAGTTCTTCGGAGTGTCCACCCTTAACCCGGAGCTGTACACGGTGCAGAAAGGTGAACATCCGACTTCGCCCGACTTCATTGTGGTTGTTGTTCTTGTTCTTGTTCTTGTTCTTGTTCTTGTTGTTCTTGTTGTTCTTGTTGTTCTTGTTGTTCTTGTTGTTGTTGTTGTTGTTGTTGTTGTTGTTGTTGTTGAGCACCTACAGAACAGGATGGAGCAGATGGGGTTCTTCGATATGCCACCCGCGTGATCGACTCATGAGTATTGTGTCTGCCTAGTGGTAAATTTTACGTCACGGACGGTGCTTTTTCGTCATCGTCGATTTCCGATCGAAAGTGATGGGTCTTGTGGACGAGCTGGTAGTGGACAATGATCCGGAGTACCAGTGGATGGATAACTTTCGCCAGGCGCGCACGAGCAACGAGAGCCGCCAGAGCCTGCTCTACAAGCTCGACGCCACCGTTCGCCGACAACTAGGGAAGAAGGTGAGTTACGTCTTTAGGGGGCGAGGGTTACATGGTGGCCGATCGGATGGTGGAAATGAAGGCAGGCAACCCTCCCCCCCCCCTCTCTCTGAAAATTGTTCCTCTTCCGCGCGCATCGTTTAACAATCGGTGATGTTGTTCTGTTATATTAGCGTCTGAACCCTTTTCTTCACGCCGCAGCCGCCGTCCTTCCCTTGTCCAAACGGCAGGTTTTTGGCTCCCAGATGCCACGCGGCAGTTCTTCTTTCACTTGCAGGCAGTTTCTTTTTTAGCGATCGGGCTGTTTTGGCGGCTCCCTCCATTGCTTTGCCTACTAGTCTTGCCGCTGCTCGCGGTGCTCCTTCTGTTGCTGCAGCAGCAGCAGCAGCAGATGATGATGATGATGATGATGATGATGATGATTATGATGATGAGATTGTTCTTGCCTGCCCTGTACCACTTGCAATGGTTCCTCCTTGCTGCCTCGCTTCACGACACAGGTGCTAGATCTCGGGTGCAACGCGGTGCTGGCCTACCAGCAGGACTTCGACGTCGAGGGAGACAGCG